AGTAGAGAAAGCAATGTGGGGAATGTATTCTGAGCTGCACAATGACATCCTTTGTGATCATCTACAATCCTCCTGACATGATCATTGTTTACTCTGCCACACCACCCAATAATATTAAAAAGCACCTCTATAGCAAAGTGCAACAGTTATTTATCTGTTAAAATGATGAAAATTGCTAAAAAGCAGGATTTACATGTTCCGATTTGTTCAGCATGTACTAGTACAAAAACATGAATCAAACTACCAGAGGTGGCCACAATGCGAGGCAGTGATGGGGTTAAACATTCTAAAGGGGCACTCTGATGGAGCCAAGCCATGTAAGTGGGCACTCTGACACATGCTGGAAATTAGAATGTTTGGCGTCCCTGAAAAAAGCCGGCTGTCCCGAGATAGGTGCATCAGCACTGTGTGTGTGCAAACACACTAGCAGCAGGTATTAATGCATTATAAACGGCAGACCATGGTGGCAAAATGGTCTTACAGACTGTTATGTGTGGAGTGCAATGTTCACTGCATCTGCCTATAAAACATGCTCCCTCCTTCAAACTTAATTTGGTGGGCCTGTTTCTGAGGGAGACTGAGCCTTCAACAACAAGCCCTAAGGTCACATGACCTTACTGAACTTTACCTCACACTACACAGATACAGTGAGGGGACTTGAAACTGCCACTGTCACTCTCATGAGGGAAGGGTGGCATTAAGACAGACTTCCCTCCTTTTCCCTCTCAAGGCTGTGACACACTGCAGGTAGCGAAAAAATCGCAACCTTCCACTTCACACATAGTTCCTACCTGATTTATCACAGGTTATTAAACACCATTTTCTAGACTTTTCACTTTGCTAAGGTGAGAAAAGCCTTCTCACTGCTTATCACACTCTTTCACAGTTTATTAAACGTACACCATAGTGAATTAAGCTTTCACATTAAAAGGGAGGAACCCCCTTCTCCTTTCTTGAGGCCACAGTGTGAGGAAAAGATGGCGTCCGCGCATGCGCAAAAACTTGCACTCCGAACTGGAAAACATGCGCTAGTGTGCAGGCACGAGCAACTAGAAGTGCACAGGAAGACACAAACGTCTGTGACACAGGATGTGACATCTCACCTTAATGAATGGCCCTATATAAACGGGCGTGCCAGTTGCCTCAGTGCTGATTGTCTTCAGCTTGTTCCTGAACCTGTGGATTGCCTGTTACCTTGCTCTTGACCTGGATCTGCATTGTTTGACTTCCTTACTGCCTGCCCTTTGATCTCGGCCTGTTTCCTGTACTTCCTCTTGCCTGTTGCCTTGGTACTTCGCTGCCCGGCTGGTTCTGACCTCAGCTTCCTCGACCACGCTCCTGCCACAACGCTGCCCTCCCGGTTTTGATCTCATTTACGTTGACCACTCTACTTCTGGACATCTCCAGCACGGTCTCCCTATTGGCACTCGTGCTTCTCGCAGTCTTGCCACACTCTGTTCCCACCTCCAGGGGGTGCAGGACGGGAGACGCAAGAGAGGCCTCCTCTTCCACCGGTCTCCTGCCAGGTACATGACACACACCCTTGTACAACTGTCTGATGCATCCACCTGCAAATGGTGGAGCTGGAAGCAGTTGTGACTTGTGACCATTCAAGATAACAGAAATTCAATTTTTGGAAGGAAGCCGTGGCTAGGGTAGACAGATAGCCAAGACCACATTGAGGCAAGGGAACTCACCGCCGGGGGAACATGCACCAAACACAAGGACAGCAAAACATGCCCTGGTTGAGATGAAAGGATGGTACTACCTCTGGAAAGGAAGCATTTAAAAGTACTTTATCCCTGATAAGAACCTAGATGGCTAGGCTGGCTTATGTCAAGGCCACAAAAAAAGCCACTTGGGGTCAAGATAGAAAGAGAAATGTCCCTAATCTGCTAAAAGGCAGGCCATTAAAGAACCAGGTTCAAATCCCAAGGGGCAGTGGGGAGCAACCCAACACCGTGAACAAAGTTTTAATCAAAAAGTGGGATGCCAATGGTCTCTGCAACAGGATAGCCAACAGAAAGACCTGACCGTACATGGTACCTATGGGGAATCTCCTAGGATAATAGTTTTGGACTTACACCACCTAAAGTACGCTCACCACATCTAATGGTAAACTTTACATGATGTGGACTTGTGTGTTCCAAAAAATCTAAATCGACAAGCATGCTGTTAAAACCATCAATCAAGAAGCAGGGTGGAAGATCTATCCCTGCTACAGCAGATCTGGACAGTCCAGAACAAACAGCATGTCTGCAAGTAACCTTACCAAGTTGGAGTATCAAGTTTTCCTGGACAAATATAGGACAATGAGGACCGTCTGAATGCCCTCTGCCTCGATCCTGTTAAGCAGGCGGGGAAATGCACAGATCACGGAGTCACTAGGGAATCCACCGCCTACACCAAAGGATGCTGGGATCTGGGGGCGTGGCCCCGGAAAAGCATCATCGTAAGGAGTCCTGTGCTGTCACACAATCTTCTGTGCAGCTTGTTGCAGATGTCATTCTGGCTTACCTTATACACTTCTGTCTTGATTCACTTTTGTGAGTATGTTTTTATTGTTACCTCAATATACAATATTAAAAAGAATCTACACTAGGGTGGGCACCCTTCTCTTTTGTTTTCTCCCACAGTATTGCAGCTTCCCAGGCTGAAGTGGGGCAGCACCCCTAGTAATCCTCACCCGCAACTATCCTTCATTTGTTGGTCAACGTTTGGCGCTTCCGATTCATTTTTTATTGGCTGTCCTCTTTGTTGTTTTACTGAGACACCAGTAGATCCACATCTGGCCTCCATCCAACTACAGCAAAGGTTTAGGAATACCTCCTGGTTCAGGGACCAATTTCCAGGGACTGAGCACTGCAAGCTGAAAAATCCACCTGGCAATTTTCCATACCAGGGATGTAAACTGTGGGTAGGGCTAGATTGTACCGTCAGAGCCACCGCAGCAGCAGGATAAGAGGTCACTACAGTTGCAGGTATGTGTTTCCGTAAGAGAAGAGATAGAATGCTTACCGCCTCTGCATTCTGTTTTGGAAATCAAAGTTGCGATTTGACCCATAAAGTAAATCATGGGCTGGAGTAAACCAATTGAGCAGGATTGCTCCTCTTGCATCTATGTTCCAACATCTTTCACTGCTTAACAGAGACGACTTGAGAACATCAGGTAAAAACCTTGTGTACTCACAAAATGACTACTGAAAGCAGGAGAGGTTCAAACGGCTGGAGGTGACCAGGTCAGTGTAGGTGGCAGCAAGGACTTACCGAGGTGGAACTGCATGTCTTTTGCAAATAGAAGCAAAGAGCAGTGAGGGGAAGATGCTACCCCACTCTCAAAAGGCAGGAGAGAGAGCAGAGTGTGTGCAGGACAATCCAGCTAGTGACACAGCACTTAATTCCTCCATGTATTAACACTTTCCATGAAAACCAATGAAGTGGTTAATACAGGTGCTTAACAGTTCCAAATATTATAGTTGCTCAGCCCAGGACTACTTATTAGAGAGTCTTTAGAGACTGGGTCACACCAGAGGCTGTGCCAAACATGCAAAGTGGTCTGTGGCCAACAGTACACACAGGTCTGGCAAGTTTTGCAAGTCACATTTCAGACAGGCCCCGCTATCTTCTGTCCAGTGTGGTCTAGGTTCAGCCTCCAAAAGCTATTGCTGAGGATATGTTGATAGCTGCATAATGAAACCAGCTAAGCAGCATGCACATGAGGTCTTGATTGCAGAAAAAAAAAAAAACTTGAAAAGATAAAATTTACTTTTTCAGTAGCAAAAAGTTCGCCATCTTTCTTGGACACTACCAAAAACCAAAGCACCCTGGGAGTAGGAGGGGGTTATACCAGACTTTTTTGTGCTCACTTTTTTGTGTTTGCCAATGTCTAAATCCTCCTATAGCGGACAGTATAAACCAATTGTCTCTGAATCAGGTGTCCTTTAAAAGGAGAACTATGAGGTGAGTGCTTTTCACTCACCTCATAGTTCTAGCCGACCTGTGACAATGAGACTGTCACAGGTCGGCTCAGTAGATCGAGAAGTGAGCGAACACATACCGGCATTCGCTCACCTCTCGATCCTGTCACGGCTCTCTGCCGTGAAAGGGGAGGGGCTAGATGCCCCCCTCCCCCAGCGCTGACTGGCGGAACGGACGTGGGAGGGGGCGGGTACAGCTGGCTCTGCCTCTAGATAGGCAGAGCCAGCTGTCACTCACGCAGCTGGGCGGATCCAGACATAATTGTCGGGATCCGCTTCAGCAGCGGCGTCTCAGTATACCGCGAGCTGTTACTCGCAGTATACTGAGCTTAGGGTGACGGGAGGACGCTAGTTTGTGTCCTCCCGTTACCATAAGGAGAACTATGGGGAAAAGCCCTAACCCCATAGTTCTCCTTTAAAGAAGAACTCCAGGATGTATTTATTTTTGTATTAACCCTTGCAGTGGGGCTACCCCCACACTGCAAGGTTTAAGGGCTTGTTTGTGCTAGGTGGTAAAATAAATACGCACACAGTCACAGCACTCCCTCCAGCACATTGGAATGTTCCTCAGCGTCCTCATGTCTGTGCACAGTGTATAGACATGATGATTTACTGCACCTTGGACGTTGCAGAGGGGGAGAGATATTCCAGGGACTGGACTAAGAAGAAGCCGGCTTGGAGCTTTGGGAGAGTACATCTTTGGGGGTTTTTTAACGTAGACCCAAACAAGCAGTTAACCCTTGCAGTGGAGCTACCACTTCTTTAATAAACAAACAAAAACCAAGTATTTATGGCTGAAGAGAAAGAGTTTTCTCCGTCCTAAAAAGAAATCTGTCAGCGGTTTAACATCCACTTCAGCTCCACGTTAAGGGTATGTAAATAAATAATGCAGTTCACAGCTTTAGCTACAACAGCCAGTGTACAGAAAACAATATCATACAAGAAACTATATGGCTTGCCTTTACAATTCTCAACATTCATGATCAATTCTAAATGTGTATAAGAATAAAAAAAAAAGGATACTGTATCTTTCCACCTTCCATTTTAAGTCGCCATACAAAAAGGTTTCCTGCTTCATCCAGACAAGCTAGCTGGTTCGAGTTCAGGTGGGCAAATGCCAAGTCTGTAACACTTCCTGTAATACCTTTTAGCAATATTCGATCTGCTGTGGTGACACTTAGGACACGAATCATAGCTGACCCATTAGAACCTTTTAACAGAAAGCAGGAAATGTTATAACTATAATACTTGTAAAAACGCAACTGCAAGTACACATAAAGCCTAACTGAATGACATTTAGATGACAAAAGCACAGTGTATAAGACAAGCGGAATGAAACACAAACATGTATCTATATATATATTTGTTAAATAGGATTTTTGTACTCACCGTAAAATCCTTTTCTCTGCTTTAATTAAAAGGACACAGCCGAGATCTTGAATCTCTTAGCACTGGGTTATAGTGCCACCTTCAGGAGTAGGACACTAGGCACAAAAACAAAAACACAGCCTAGGGGCGGCCCCTAACAGCGGCCAAACACCCCACCTGCTAGAGGCAGCACAGTTAGTCATAAAGAAGACAAAGCAGTACATAAAACAACAGGTCACAGACATCAAAACCAGAGGGGAGGGTGCTGTGTCCTTCAATGAACGCAGAGAAAATTATTTTACAGTGATTACATAAATCCTATTTTCTCTACCATTCATTGAAGGACACAACCGAGATCTTAAACCTCTCACCACCATCCCAAAGCAGTATCTACTGAGGGGAGGGAATAATTGTTAACAACTCCCTTGACAGAGCAACCAGAAATGGACCGATCCACCTTGACAAATGACACAGGAGCCCCAATCATGGGGTAACCCGCACAGAATGAACTAGCTAGACAAGTAGAAAAGTCCCTCCCGAGACTCTCATGCGAGACAGAAGACCAGCACTGCACACCAGACAGGACAAAACCAGTAGCTCACAAAACACGCCACACAAGTGTTGCACCAAAGTGTCAACCCAGAGACCAAGATGGCAAAGGCAATATCCTATAGGAGAAATTAGCTCAAGGCACCAAGGAACATAGTCCAACAAAGTCACAGAATGTCGTACCAGAGGCACTACATAGCTAGTATCCGCTCAACCTAGCAAAGGAAGAAGAGATAAGCTTGCAAATTTTACAAGCGATGGAACCAAGTCCTGCAAAAGCAGAAGCCTAAAATCACAAGACAAGAAAGAGGTGCCGAACCCCATGCAATCCCGGTGTAGAACCTGAGAGGCTATTGAACAGGACAAGGCTGTCAGCTCAGAGAAAAACACTTTGCTGCTTTCCTGTTTGCCAGCACCTTTGCAAAGAGAAAGGAATGGAAAACAACAAAATATCTAAAACCCATAATTTACAGGAGATTGTATAGGACTACCTAGGACAACCCTCCACAAACAAGAAATGGAGCAGAGGAAGATCCGAAAACAGGCTGCACAGAGCTACCAGAGAGCCTGCTACTCCAACAGAGGATCCCCTACCTGGAAACAAACCTATTCATAGAGCAATGGAATCCGAAGACACCAGCAGGGTAAAGGCCCTAGACCAGGGGTAGCCAAACTCCGGCCCTCCAGCTATGGTGGAACTACGAATCCCATGAGGCATTGCTAGATTTGCTAGATTCTCACAGCCACAGACATGACTCCCGGAGAGAGATGCATCATGGGATTTGTAGTTCCAGCACAGCTGGAGGGCCGGAGTTTGGCTACCCCTGCCCCAGACCCTTGAACCCAGACCGTGGGTCCATGTTTAAAAAGAAAATGTTAGACAAGGCTGGAACTAAAGTCCTACACAGGACTGGATCCATCCTACCATTGAAACGGCAATACAACAGATGCCTACCTAAGCGCTCCTTCACACCTGAGTGACATTGAATATGTGCATTTTCAGCGCGTTGTGTAGCACTTTTTTTTGCACCTTTTTACATGCGTTTTACACATGCACAGCCGTGTGCTTTCGCAAGAAGATCATGACACATTGATGTGAATAGACAAAATGCGCGCAAGATGCAGATAAATGTGCAAAGACGCAGCAAACTTGTGTTTTTGTGCGTTTCCACTGAAGTCTATGGGGCCAAGAAGTGTATATAAAAGAAGCTCATGTACTTTCTTCAAGTAATGGGCATTTTGCTACAAGCAACAAAACGTGGCTATAGGGTCTTTCTATTTTTTAGCTTTTTTCAGGCAGAAAATCGCTACAAAACGCTTAGTGTGAATGAGGGCTAATAGAAGACATATGCTACACCTAGGCATTGCCCCACTGTCTCCAATCAGAAGAACCACCAGCGGGCCAGTCCAGCATTGCAGAGACAACCAAATCACTTGGGCCCCACCAAAGATTAAATAGGAGACTGGAGTCTGATGACTAGTCCCCTGCACTGGCCAGTTATGCAGAAGTCCTCCCCAGCCTGGTAGCTATACTATGGTCTTCCAAGAAATCAGAAGAAAGGGGCATCCTAACTCCAGAGGTAGAGTCCGGAGCCACCAGATCAGAGAATCAGGTCCCCGGAGTCAGGCAAATCAGCCTGTCTACAGGTTGAACCTAGCCCTTTAGGATGACAAAAGCCTGTACAAAGAAGCCAAGCAACAGAACCGCCTCAAAAGGAAGCAACTAGTAGAGCCAGGACCACCATGCAGAGTACAGAGCTGGGAGACACCTGCACTGCGAAGTTCAAATAAAAAAAGTAGAGAATACTCAGAAGAAAGTATTTATTCCAGAATCCTGCTGCACTCCTTACCGGGTATCCCTGTCAGCGTGGGTGCTCGAAGTGACCACGGATGGCGCCGCTAATACTGAAACTTGTTAATGATGTCACCAGCACACCATATTGAAGTGAAGAACATGTCTGTTTGACGCATCATGTCAAAACAAATAGCAATATTTCGGAGCCACACAGGTTCCCCTTCATCAGGCTTGAAATGACGATCATTGGTCATTCCAAGCCTGATGAAGGGGACCCTGTGTGGCCCCGAAACGTTGCCATTTGTTTTGGCATGAAGGGTCAATAAACAGGCGTGTTCTTCACATCAATATGGTGTACTCAGAAAAAAGAACACACAGGTATCGCTGTATCCAAGACAAAACTCCAAATACCCAAAAACTGAGTCAGAGAATGCTTAAACCACAAGGACAGTATCCAACAAAAATTTTCACCATTTCTAACGTCCACTTCACAATGTCTGTTACAGCCCGGGCGGACTGTTCCAGCAACAAGGAATAGCCAAGACAGTCCAGATGGAAGGCCTCAAAAAGCAGCCAGACTATCACCAGAGTCAGTAATCAGAGCAGTTACAAGGATGTGGAAAACACAGCAGTGACAGGACCCAAAGAAGCTGGAAGCCAACAAAAATGAGGGAACAGTGATGCACTGATAAATAGGGACCTGCAGCCAGCGTCCCTGATGTCCAAAAAAGCCAAAAACAAAAAGGCCTTCTGAAACGATGAAGCTCAGACAGACCAAGTTATGCAGGCAGAATATATATGGGCTCAAAAAGGATGTTAACCCTTTTGCTTCCACCAATGTATGTCATAGGTCACTGGCAACAGGCCCCTTAAAAACAGACTTCCTGGCAGCTATAGCCGTTGGGACTCTGTTTACATGTGTAAAGCCGTTTGTCGGCTTTACACTGGAAGCAATTCTGAAGGCTGAGCTGGCGCCAGATCGCTTCCAGGGGCTGGTGTAGTGCAGGCAACACACACACCTTGCTTCTCAGGCATCTCAGGTGTTGGCGGGAAGCGGGGAAAGAGACTGACAATCAATTTGCTAATTTCTCCTTTGCCGAATAGGATGCTGATTGGATCACCCCTGGTCCCTCTAACTGCATTGCTTGGCTGCAGAAGCCAGGCAAGAAGCTATTGGAGGGCAGATTGCTTCTTTGGAAAGGGAATGTGACAGTAGGGGTCTAATAGAACCCTAACATCACCATAAAGATTACCTGTCACCACTAGTAAGCAATTAAGTAAAAAAATTAAATAATGTAAAAAATAAAAGTAAAATAAAAAAATTAAGAAATCCTTTATATTTTGTTCTGAGCGATTACTGGAGACAAAATATAACAGATTTATTTAGCTATCACAACAATCCTCCAACTGTAGTCACATCTCCCGGGTCACTCTGCACTGCCCAGGGGGAAATACCACTATGAATATTAATGATGCACGTACAGGAGAGAAACAAAGCATTGTGGGAAAAGGATTTTTCCCACCCCCTACACTATAGTTCCCTCTGTACAAAGCAGCCTGGCAGCCATTTACAAAAACATGTGGAACCTGAGAGGACAACTAAAAAAAGTAAGTTTGTGTGTTTATATCCAGGATCTGCATATGCCGGCATCTACACACAGAGTACATTGCTGGCATATGTTTCTTTAAAAATGCCCCCGCAAAAGGTGGAAATGGCCTTTAAATATGTATGAAAACAACAACAAAAACGAAAGAGGATGAAAAAACCCTGATAGCAGACACAAACGTCACTGGCCAAGCTGAAAAAACAAAAAGCAGATCTGGGGAGCAATAGAAAATGCACAAGGGACCAACTTGGGGCATCCAGTACGTTTCTTGTGGTAGGTTTCTAGTGCCAAAGGTCCTCAGCCTAGCACAAGATGAAGAATGTCTTCCAGTGAAAAAGGTATGCATCCAGTAAACATACTCAAGGGCTACCAACAGCTTTAATATAAACAAGGAAGAAACACCCTTGTCCTAAAAGACCGAAGCATCAGAAGCAAGCCATCAAGGCTAGCAACTGATGTAGGGCAGAAAACACTGAGCAGAAGATGAGAACAATCCCAAAGAGCCCACAAAACACCCTCCAGGAGACTCGGCAGGTTCACACACCCCACCTCCCTGGGTACACCGGAGCAAAGAAAAGTAACGGAAAGTCCTCGCCCTCGAGCCTGGGAGCAAAGGGGCAGAATAGGGAAGGAAATGCATAGAACAAGTTGCCATGAAACCACAAAGCCAGAAAGAAAACCATGGCTGCCGCCAGAGCATGCCTGTGCCTGGAAACAAAAACTGGGCAGTTGGACATCAACTAGAGACCAGGAGACCCACAGACAGAGTCCCTCACCCCAGACACCTGTTCCTGCACACCACCAGAAGCAGAAAACCATAGCCACAGTACTGGGAACCAATGTGAGTGGTAGGCTGTCATGCCAAAAGTCCACACTTCAGGGCCAACTGAT